TTTTTTTTTTCTTCGACTTGCATTACTTCTTACATATGTCAGTTAATATGAACAAAAGAGGTTTCTTCTCTTCTCAAAAACAACTCTTTAATGTACCTTTCTGGTTAAGTTTTTAAACAAATTCGTAACGCGTGCAGCATGGCTGTATAGCTGTTGTAATATTTCTAATGTAGAAGTGATAGCATACGCAGAAAATGTAACAGCGTTTCGCCTCCCTGACTTTTTTTTGTAAGCTTTTATCAGCAACTGAGCTTTTTGCTTAAATTTATTGGCGGATTAAGTTTGGCTAATTGTCTTACTGTAATACAAAAGTGACCTTTGCACCTGATTAAGATCTTTTTTTGAATCAACAAATTACTTATTTAATACTTTGTTTGCTTATTCTCAATGTTGGCTTTTGCAATGGTGACGGTTTCACAACAGTTCACTTGCGCCTGCTTTAATAATCTTTAATTTTTGTTCTGTTTATTCATTTACTTATTTTTGATTATTTTTGAACTGCTCAAGGAAACCGTCAATTAGCACTTTTAGAAATTTATTTAGATTTTTGCGTGGTGGTTTGGTGTTGACATGTTATCGTTGAGGCAGAAGAAAAGTAGTTCTAAATTAATAATAGTTCTAAATTAATAAGTATTTTTTTATTTCCTGAAGGGTCGTTTTTTACTTGAAATCCGAAATAAAAATCTAACTATTGCTGTCTGTTAATTCAGTATTTAAACGCTCTAAGCGAGCTTAGAATAATTTTTTTTGCTTCTCCTTTTATTTTATCAAATACTTTTGCTTTTACTTTTTTTTAAACAACATTAGGCAATCAGCATTGTTGCTGTTTTACCATTGGGCGAAACAATGTGACGTTACTCGTTATATTTTAGCAGACGTGGTGTTTAATTGAGAGAGTCGCGGCGTATGCGTTTTTTTCTTTCATTTTTTTGTTCTTTTTTTTATTCTAATTTGTATTTATCTCCACATACCATAAAGTTTTTTTAGTTTTACATTATACTGGTAATGATTTATCTTTCTTACTCTACCCTACATTTGGTTGAATCAGCAGCACCTTAAAGACTGATTAGACGTTGATTCTTACACTTCTAAGGCATTAGTTCCATTTTTTGAACGCTTTCTCTTAATGAACAACTTAAGCAGCTTTCATAACAAGTACCATATACTGTGGTCGTATCTTTACCACTTTTAGATGTTGTTAGTGAGGTATTTAAATTGAAATTTATATTGAACCTGCGTTTTCTTTGTTTTAGTGTGCCACCGTCGACGTTTGAAACTAGGGACCATACAGGAAGGATGCACTGGCAGGTCACCATTATTTTGGCTTCATTGTACGGTATTATCAAGGATTTTAGACCTGCAACCCCATTTCTCACTCCGTACTTAATTTCCCCTTACAAGAATTTTACAAATGAAGACTTATACAGCAAAATTTACCCGTTTTGGACCTACTCTTATTTAGTAGCTTTGGTGCGTTAACTTTTCTTTTTTTCATTTTTACTTTTTTTTTTTATTTTCACTTTTTTTTTTGCTTTTTACTTTCTCGTAGAACTTTGTTTGTAATTTCGCGTGTAGAGTAGCAGTTGATGTAGGAAAATGTTATGAGAGCTCATTTTACTCATTTCACTCTTTTCTTAATTGTTTATTTTTGTCGTCATCACACCTATATTTTTAGATACCTGTTTTCTTCTTCACGGACATTCTTCGGTATAAACCTGTAGTACTTCTCGAAGCCAGTTGTTTGTGCAGCACTTGGGCTTTGTTGATATGGGGGAAAACCGTTTGGCAAATGCAGCTTATGCAAATCGTCTTTGGTAAATCTCAGCTCATGGCAGAAACAAAATTTACATTTTATGATTTCTGATATTTTCACATTTTCTTTTCAGTCTGTGAATGGTAATTGGGTGATGTGACCACCTTAAGAAATGTTGATTTGTTATTGAGAGATGTTTGAAACTTACAGTGAAGCATAATAAGGAAGCTCTTTTTAGGTGTTGCGTCGGCGTCTGAAATTGCATATTTTTCGTATATGTATGCTGCAGTAGATGGGAAACACTATAAAAGAGTGACATCTTTTACTCGTGGCGCAGTTTTGACAGGAAAGTTTTTTTCATACGGCACTGCTCAGCTACTTGTTTCTTTTGTGGGAAGCAGCTCTTACCTGTTGTTGAACCAGGTATTGTGGCAATTTTAACGCTTTACACTTCTATTATTCTTTGAAGAAAGTAGTAGTAACTGTTTTGAAAAAGTGATTTTTGTAGGTTTTAATTCATAAATCCACCAGCAACCTTAAGTTTTTTTATGTTTTATTTATGCCCAACTCTACCTTTCTAGATATCATTTGGTGCTGTGTGTACAGTTCTTGTTATTGCCGTTGCACTGCCCTCGATTTCTTCTGCTAGAATCGCAAATAAGGTACAAACTGAAATAAAAAATAGTGTTGCTGAAGCTTATAGTAATCCGAGAGTTGCAGGCGACGAATTTACGAAAACGACTGAAGAGCAGTATGTATAATTTGGTTTTTGAATAATATATTCTTTTATTTTTTGACGTTACCCTACTGTAAAATTTTAATTGACATCTGGATAATAACTGCATTAACTTTTTTTTTTGCATTTTGGCCTGTTTCCTGACCTCGAATAATTTTTTGGTACAACTTTATTAAAAATCCTACACAACTGAAGGGAGTTGTGAAGGCATAGTTTCGACAGAGGTGTGCCATTTAATTTTAATTATGTAAATTCTTTAAGCTTCTTCTGTCTTATGCTTTTTCGCAATATTTCACTTATAATTTAAATATTTGCAGGGATCAGGAATTCGATTTAAGAAAACATTGATTCTTATTATACTTCATCTGTAGTAATAGAGTACAAAAATTCTCATTATGTTTTAGTACTTATTAGCATCAGAAACGGCCTTCCTTGACAGATTGTAGACAATTAACGTGTGTCAAAAATACTGATTAATGTAGCTTTGTGGAAAATGGCGCATAGTTACTCGAAGCTTTTCTTCTCCATCTTATTTAACCCAGCTAGTATGAGTTCCAGTTTTAAGGTCGTCGATGTCGTGTTTATGATTTGCTAAGAGAGTCTTGCGCTTGGTACCAGGGCTGCATCACAGTTCATATAACTGCTAGTGAAATTACTGATTTCAGGCTCAACATGTTCAGTGATGAGCTTCATTAGAGTTGCAGCTGACCGACCTACTGAGAAGTTTTGAAAAAAAATTTTTTTGTTTGTCTACTGTTTTTTCCAAGAACTCTTGCTTGCCTGCAGCAGAAGTCTACCAACAATATGGTTTCTTTCAGGTGGACAAACTGCCACTAACTTCTACGGTTCCTCCTGGGCATTCAGTTTCCTGTGTTAAGAGACTGTTTATGAATAATTTATAATCATACATAAACACTCAAACTTTAAAAAATAGATTATTCAAATTTTTGTCTTTTTACTGTTTCCACATTGACTTATTCCAGCCCCATTCCACTAACACTACAACGGTATTCTTTAAAATATATGGTTCCTTCTAGCAGTAATTTATTTTTAAACCTTTTTATTCTCACGACCTTCAATGTAGTAAATCCCCCTGTAGCTTTCAAGACTAACCTTAATATTTGACCACATATTGATTTTAAGTGATCTAAAATTAGTTTTTCACTGGGGCTATACAGTTACATCCGCTTTACCAGACGGCAGTTCATGAAATTTAATACTTTTCTTGGTTGCTCTTTTAAGGATTAGTTTAGTAATTTAAGTGATGAATATCAACTGCATTGCAAATTTTTAATTACTGGTATGATTTCTTATACTTGTCTTATTTCCCTCCCCTTGTTAGCACGTGGGTTGTGAAAAGGAATTACCTTGAAAGTTACGTGTGTTGTCAAACATTAGAATAGAAAAAGGATGTTGAGTACTGGCGTTACAGGACGAAGTGTTTTTGATAAAATGAGAATTATTTCTTTCTTGAATCTGAACAGTCTTGCATATGCCTGCTGGATTATCTGTAAACTATTATGGAAGAGCATAACGCGAAGGAAAACTGTGAAATTTATGCATTCACTGTTTTATAACGTTTAATATCTGTTTATTCCTCCTTCACTGTACACTTCCGGTTGATTATGTATTGGGAAAATATTAGTTTTGTCACCATGAATTTCCATATATCTTTATTTTTTAAGGGTTGTTCTGACTGTGCGTCCATTAACGACAGAAAATGGCATCTTGTCTTATTTTAAAGCCGTTTGGGAGAATTTTAAAGTATACAGAGACGATCCATTTGTCCTCAAATGGTCGCTTTGGTGGTCGTTGACGAGCTGCGGTGTCTTTCAGGTCTTAAAATTTTACTAGGGACACTGTAAAGCTCATTTAGCTGTTGCTGTAGCACTATTGGTTTTTTGAAGATCTGTAATTTCTTAGGTGCAAAATTATATGCAGACTCTTTGGGCTTCAATGCAGGAAACCGAAGATGATGTCAAAAATGGGATAAATGAATGCGCCAATACATTAGTAGGTAAAGCAAAATTTATTTTCATTTGTCCTATGAATATTTTGTTTTTATATTTGGTAGTCGCCGTTTTTAAGGAGCTATTTTATCATTTCTGATCCAGTACTGGAGTATAAACTGGGAAAAAACTGGAGAATATGTAATATTTATTACTTCCTTACTCGCCACTGTGCTCTTGTTTGCGGTTTCTCAGACTACTAACATTATCGTTGCCTATGTAATTTATTCAGTTATTGTAGCTGTGTACCACACCCTGATTACTGCAGCCAGGTTATTAGCAATATCTGTTAGTATTTTTAAAGCTAGGTTTAGCGAGAAAACTCCCAAGTTTTTTTTATAAAATTTTTTTGTTTAGTGTTTTATTTACTATATTTGAACTTTTCAGTGCCAACATTGCATCCCATTTGAACAGAGCTAGTTACGGGTTAGTTCTTGGTTGGAACACGTTTATCGCTCTTTTGTTACAAACCATTTTAACATTTGCTGTTGCTGACGAGCACGGATTTAACCTCGAGATCCGAATGCAGGTACTTTATTTCCTTTTGTTTTTCTCTTGAGCAGTACATTTTCAAAGCTCCTACTTAACTCAACAGATACTTAACGAGTTAAATTCCTTTGATAAGTACAGAGAAGTTGTAATATCATTTAGTTCTTCAGTTTTGTTGTACGATTTTGAACTAGAAGTCAGTCATACTCCTCAGAATATTTTTCGCAACTTAAGACGAACTGATGCAGCTTTTTTAGTTTGTTGTTTATGGATGTTACTTTGCAATGGTTACGATCCTATTTATGTTTATTGTTGGACATAGGATTATTATGCTTATTAAAAGCAAACGGAACGCTGATACTCAGTCGGTTGTACCAGAGCTTGAAATTACTTCTCTTTAGTTTCTTACATTCTGTTGTTTAGTTCCTTGAGATTTTTATGTTGTCGTGTAATCTTTTCTATATTCATGCACTTCAGCTTTACTATTAAAAATACCGGTTTATAATTTCTTTATCTTCATACTCTTATAGTCTCATTTATTAGTATTCTCACAGTAATAACTGTTTACTGCCTTTTAGCAGTAGTTGAAAGGGAAGTAATTTTGAAACTTTCATGTAGAAGATCCAGATAGGCAGTTGGCGCTTCAGTTACAGTTCCTTATTGGTTGCACCCCTTTGATTGATTGTAGTGGTATCACGTTTGAGTCTAGATATTTGATGAATATTAGAACTTGATTTTAGAATAATTGAATAAGTTCTTTCTAATTTGGAATTTAGTCTTAACTGTTAAACCGCACAGTTTAACAGAATTAATTGGATCATACAAAGTAGAAGTAGCATTCTTTAATTAGAATAATAGTTTTAGGATTTTGCTTAAGTTTTTTATGTTAGTAAATTTTTAGCTTGAAAAGAGACTGCATTATGTGTATTCAGTATCTTTTGATGTTGTCGTTTAATGGGTCGCTATCAATGTGTCTGCCTTAGAATGCCTTGTAATATTTAGAGTCTTAAGCAGGAGAATTTTCAGTGCCGGAGAAAAGGGATTTAGAATTTTGGTGTACAGTACTGTGTAAAAAATAATCTTCAAAAAACATAATGCAGCTGAATAAATCTTATAGACCACATGTTTATCACATCTTGCCAACAGACTTTGTCGGTGGGTAGAAACTTTAGATTTGGTCCACCGGGTCCGAAAGACCCCTGTTAAATTTGCTTGGCAGAAGGCCAACTAGCCCTAAGCCGTCATTTGTATGGTTTCCTCTGCTTTAAAGGTTAAATTTCTGTATTACAAATCCACATTGAAAATTCGTATTCCGTTGACGCTGGAAAGCATTTTCGTATTTTGGAAGCAAACGCTTTGAGAAGTACTGGATGTTCGGTTGTTTAGCGGTTTAGGTGCATACGATGATATCCAAAAGTGTACTTTCTCCTTTTGAACGTGATATGCTTGCTAGATTTTTTTCGCTGATCAGAAATTATTTTAACACATATTAGTGTTGTAGTCTCATTATGGTGAGCAAACTGCACAGGACATCAACCTGTCTTCCTTTGTTATTTCGCCAATATATTAAATCTTCAGCAGTACCTTCAGCACAATTTCGAGTCTCAAAATATGAACTACATTCTGGAAAGGTCTTTTTAAATACTTTTTGAATATCGAGTAACGCATAAAACTGTAGTTTAATGAAGAATCTGATAAACGGTTTAATCTTTTAAGGTAGCGGCGGATAATAAAGAGCAGGAAACTTCGACAGTTCCTTCCCTTGACGGACTGTTAGTCATTAAAAAATCCCCATCAAAGCTTCATTTACTGACTAAATATTTAAGGAGTAAATATGGTGCGGCCAGTAACTTGGATCGGGATGTTAAACAGGTTCATGCTTCAAAGTTATTCTCCTTTATTGCTGAAATGGAGGATGTCTAGATCAGGCGAGTTACATGCAACATATGGCTAGACTTATCATGCCCAAGAACTTTTTAGTCATTTGACTGGGAAATAAGAATTTTCAACTTCCGGATGATTTGAGGAGACTATCAGATGAATGTTTTAATGGGTCATTTTCCGCACCCTATTGGTTTAATTTTGGAGGGATCCAAAATTAATTTTTTAAAACTGTTTACTAGTATCAGGGACTTTTGCTTCAAATCTGTTTGTCTTAGTGCTGAAATATCCTGCTGTTTTTAAAACTCGGTAAGTAGGAAGAGGTTGTTCCTTTCCATTCCCGTTTCTTTCCCCTACTCCCTCTCCAGAATTGCTTTATTGTGGTCAATAAGTATCAGGGGAGTGTGTCCACCGAAGGGCGACTGAGGGTTTCTAATCAAAAAAAGGTTGAAGATTTTTCAGTTTTAAAAGAGTTGGGGCTTTTCTGGTTAGATTGGATTTTTTGTATCAACATATCTTTTGATAAAATTTTTGAATTTATTTGGCATGTGTTTTGATTGTAGCGTACTTATTACGCAGAAACCTTTTTACCCATCTAAGTAAACATTATCTGAAACTTATAAGTTATGAAAATAACCTCCAAAGGCAGAGTATGTGAGGCAGGTTTATTAAATCAAATGGTAAAGTTTTCTTAGACATGCCTTTCAGTTTTCTCAGACATCTTTTAGCCTTTATTACTTATAGTTACTGCATGGCGCCTCTTCCCAGCTCGTCTTCGATTGTTCGAACCGCTATCCGTACAAAACGTTGTGCAAAAGTATAGTTTATCTGTTCCAAGTCTCTTACTTTCTAGTTGTTCATAATTGCTGCTAATTTTTGTAAAACGTTTGAGCAGTATACGAGGTAGGTTTATCAGATTAGTCGCTAGTTCGTTCGTGAAATGTAGAATCCTGTGAAACGTCAAAACTGAGAGGTAAAACAGTATTTTTGTA